AAGAAACATCTTTGACAAACCAAACTCTGTCTGGGACATCACCGTCCAAAGCAACAGTAGGAGACAAATTGATAACATAGGCAACAGTGTTAAGTGCTTCCGCCCAAAGTGTATTTGGAAGTTTAGCCTCTGAAAGCAGGCATCTAACTCTTTCAACTAGAGTTCTATTCATCCTTTCTTCCAAACCATTCAATTGAGGTGTCTTCGGCGGAGTTTTCTGATGGCGAATTCCTTGTTCCTTGCAATAGTTATCAAAGGGACCACAATATTCACCACCATTGTCAGTGCGAATATATTTTAATTTCTTCCCCGTCTGTCTCTCAGCTAAGGCCTGAAATTCCCTAAACACGCCAAGTGCTTGATCTTTAGATTTCAAAGGATACACCCAGATCTTACGAGAATGATCATCATTGAAGGTCACAAAGTAAACTGCACCACCTTTTGACTTTACTTTAAAAGAACCACACAAATCAGAGTGCACTAGCTCCAATAAATCGGGCTTTCTTGAGGGAGGATGGCTATGAAAGGAAACCCTTTTCTGTTTGCCAGCTAAACAATGGATACGCCTTTTTAGCTTTGCTTGTTTCACTCCAGAAAGCAAACTTTTCTTAGCCAAACATGCAATCCCCCTCTCGCTCATATGACTCAATCTTCTATGCCACAATTCTAATAAAGTATCACTTTCCACTAGATTTATTGAGTCATTAAGAATAGAGCCTTGTGTCACATATAAATGACCAGACTTGACTCCTCGAGCCACTACTAACGAGTCCTTAGTGAGCTTCCATTGGCCATTAAAGAGGGCATTATGGTAACCTTCATCGTCTAATCTTCCTGCGGAGATCAAATTGAAAGGAATGTCTGGAGCATGCTTGACGTCTTGAAGAACTAACGTTGAACCATTATTAGGTTTCAAACGAACTGTGCCAACACCAGACACCTTAACTTCACTAGCATTGCCCATCTTTAACACTCCAAAATCAACACGAGTATAAGATGAGAAAAAGTCTTTTCTTGGTGTGACATGTGAGGTAGCTTCAGAATCTACTATCCAGCTTGTCTCATGGGATACCAAATTGATGACATTTTCATCATAAGCAAAAAGAAGGTCATCTCAAACAATAGCAGCAACATTGTTCTCGTTATTTTCAGCTTTCTTTCCTTCTCTAATGTCTTGATTCAACTTGCGGCAAAACCTTTTGATGTGTCCTTTCTTGCCACAGTGGTTGCATGTAATATTATAGTATTTGGACCTTGACTTACTTCTACTTTTACCTCTATTCCACGAGCCTCTTGTTCTATCTCTCCCCCGGTCTTGTGTAACCAAGATATCTGCTTGTGAGGACGAACCCTGAGATTTTCTCCTTACTTCCTCGTTCAATACACCCCTCTTGGCATATTCCATGGTCACCTTACCTCCAGAAGCTGAATTTGTCATAGAAACACGAAGAGTTTCCTAAGAGTCTGGCAGAGTATTAAGAAGCCAAAGTCCTTGTATCTCATCATCAAAATTAGCTCCCATTCCAGACAGCTGATCAAGGACGCCCTGAAAATTATTTATGTGATCAAGGATAGGGCTGCCTTCCTTTTATTTAAAGGTCATCAATTGCTTTAGCAGGAACAACTTGTTGTTCCCAGTTTTTGAAGCATAAAAAGTCTCTAGCTTTTCCCACAATGATCTCGCTTGTGTCTCGTTTACAATATGGTTGCGAACATTATCTTCAACCCATTGTCGTATATATCCACATACTTGTTGGTGCTCGAAATTCCAATCTTCATCAGATATACTCTCGGGTTTATGAGCTGCAAAAACGGGTAGATGCATCTTCTTCACGAACAACAAATCTTTCATCTTGCTTCTCCAAACATTATAATTTCTCCCATTTAGACATACCATCTTGCTCATATTCGCCTCCAACAACCCGGATAAATAACCAAGGCTCTGATACCACTGTTATGTCGAGGAAGAGGCAAACCCCAAAATAAAGAAGATAAAGAATACCAAATTTTAACGTGGAAAACCCTTCAAATCGAAGGTATAAACCACAAAATCACAAAGATCCAAAAAGTTCCACTATAACAATAAGAGGGTTGCAAAAGTTCTCCAAATTGGCTACACAACAACTGCCAAACACGGAGCAACAAGAGCAACAACTAATCAATTGAAGAAAGAAGAGAATCCACAAAAATAAAGCCGTTGTTCGAGGCTCGAAATCAGATGCTACGAGCTTCCAAATCCGATCTTCACCCTCCAAACAAAGACCAAGATGTTACAAACACTCAGTCAAAATTTCAGCCCGATCCAACGGTTAACGAATCGGAAAACGTGATTTGAAGTTGGCTGGTCGGAATAAAAATCTGCAGCAAAACAAATACTTTTCTTCTCTCTTCTCTTTTGATGAAAGCTCTCTCAAAAACCACTCTTATGTGCTTAAATCTTTCAAAGACTTGTATCAATGAGCATAGAATAATTCTCCAAGGTTGTACGATTTATAGATCATGAGTGGTGCTTTCTCTTAAAGCCAAAACCCACTCAAAATAGGAATAAACACTGAATCCAATTCCGAATAGGAATGAAAACCAAAAGAGAATAGGATTAGGCCATTGGGCCTTTGGCCGGACAATAGAAAGTTGCCACAACTTAGGAGGGGTTATAGGAAGCCAAAAAACGTGAGCCTTTTTACATACTTCTTAAAGAGGGAGAGCGCCAGGAGAACGTCGAGACGCCATCAGTTTGGAGCACGAGGCCAGCAGAGCTTGCTGCAGAGGAGATAAGAAAAGGCTCAGTAGAGGGTATCTGGTAACTGTTATGAATGCGGACAACATGGGCATGTGCCCAACACGAACATCATATAAGTCCATCTTTCTTGGCTTATATTGCTTCACCAAATCTCTTATAAGATGAATGGCTTCTTTGTGATAAATCTATCACGATAAAAAAAATATGTACCATCCAGTTAATTTCCAGAACCGACTAAAGCCTCCTTTTTTATGGCAAATACATGCAAGCAAATACTGTATATATGAGTCCTTATTTATGTTATAGAAACAGAAAAGAAAAGAAAATTATTGTCTCTTTTTCTCTTTGTTCTCCAATCCACCAAATACAACACACATGTGACATGTCCCAATTAAATGGAGTTTGATTTTTGCTATAATGCAACGTCGGCAAAAGATTTTCATCCTTGCCACAAATAGTGTGATTTTCTGGATAAAATTCCTTCTTAAGGCCTACCAAAACGGGGTCCTCTCTCCTTGTGCCTTAGGTCTTTCCCTTAAACAAATAAACAAAAACTATACCTTTTCCATTTACTCGTTTGGACATAAAATTTGATGGAAGGTTTTTTCAAAAAAATTTCACTTTTTTTCGGAATCAGCATTTGTTCATAAAATTTCCAATTTTCACTTGAAGATGCATTTTGGAATTTTTCGAAAATTTTAAAAACTGCAAAAAATTATTTTTCAAAATTTTCACTCAAATCACTCACAAAACTTCAAAAACAACCCAAACTGAAATTTATGTCCAAACACAACTCTAAATTTCAAATACCATCTAAACTTGAAAAAAAAATTTCACCATTTTTTCAAATTTTACAATTCTTATGTCCAAACGCCTACTTAATACCTTCCACCTAGACAAAACTTCATTTTCGAAGAAATTTCATGCATGTGTGCGTGTGATTTATTCGTATGAACCACCTCTGCACCTGTCTCTATCATATCGCCTTCTACTAAGAAGAACTAAACAAAATTACTAAGTAACATATGGTCAAATTCAAAGATTTGTGACATTAAGTGTACAAAAGGGATTTACTGACTCCAAGCATCTATCACTCGAAGATCAACAAGCAACATGATGTTGGTGTGGACATACTTTCAATATGCAAATAATAAGATATCATTTGCGTTTAATATTTGTTTTACAATTCTGCCATTAATTTGTCTTCAACTTAAAATAGAGAATTATCACTTTTTTTCAAATAAATATATCATATTTAAACACAATTTTAACTTCAATTTCAACTTGGAATTCGCTTTTGCTTTATCACTAAGAGGCCCAACACATAATGAAGAGAGAGAGAGAGAGAGAACGGCTGGATATATGGAAGGCATCTATTCCAGCACATATGGTTCTGATAGCACTGCAAAAAATTAACACTAGCATCCTTTTTTTTTTTTTTTGGGAGAAATTTTAAAATAGCCAGATTTATAACTGGTCGTTCAAAAATAGTCCAGTTTCAAAAGTAATCGAAATTTAGCCACTTTACATATAAAGATAAATCTGAGCGAAAACACTGTTCAAAACCCGAAAAACACGCCAGTATATTATGCTGGAGTTCCAGCATAAGTATACTTGAACTCCAGCATATTATACTGGAGTTCCAGAATAAGTATGTTGGAACTCCAGCATAATATGGAGTTTGGAGCAGCGGTGCTCCAGTCTCCAGTATATTATACTGGAGCCAGCAAAGTATACTGGTCCAGCATAATATGTTGGAGTTCATACACAGGTGCACCGAACTCCAGTATATTATGCTGGACCGGTCTCTGTTGCAGCAAAATAGTGACTATTTTTCATTGATTTGGTAAACGCTGGATATTTTTGAATGAGCTGTCCGAAAACTGGCTATACCGTGCTATTTTGACTTTTTTTCCCTCTCTTTTTCATAGCAACATTATCAAACTTAAGGTTAGAAATATTGAGTCTTTTAAGTTTTAAGGAAAGGAAGGAGAGAAAAACGAAAAAAAAAAAGAAAAGAAAGAGATTTTTGTTAAAACTAAAGTTTCATCTTATTGGTCCACGTGTCCCAGAATCCTACTAAAATTTGTTGGTCCAATTCTAGAAAATGAAGTGAAAACACCCAACTGGTTTTCACTAAAAATCTGTCCTTTCAAGAAATGCTTATTCTTAAAAAATGGTGGAGCTCCCACCACCATTATATTATTACCATTACCATTACAGGCCAACCCCATTTTCCTTTCCTTTCTCTCCCTCCTAATTATCTCAGAAATTAACTTCTCTCTGCTGCTGCTGCATTATTATGAAGCTAACTCATGTCTGCCACTTTATTAACAGCCGTATTGGCTCAGTTTTATCAATCAAAACTTGTCTGTATTTCCATTACATTTTTTTTTTGTTAAAATATAACTCAACTAATACTATACTATATTTTTTTAACTTCTTCCTAACTTTAATGATACCATAGGATAGAAGCAGCATAGTCACGTTCTTAAAGTTGAATACTTTTTAAAAGAATCATATTAAAGAAGACTTGACCCGTGTGTGCCAACCGCTTCTTCATCTATATATATAAAGGCTCCTTATACTAGGGAGTTTACCACCAAAAATACTTGTTATTTTTAATAGTCTCTCTATTTATTATACAATTTCCTTTCCAAGAAAGTCTAAAACCCCACCTCCCATATCACAGACACAACAAAAATAAGCAATAATATAATGTCTTTTTCTTATGCTAAAAACTGTTTGCAACGGTTTTGTGTGGATGAGTTCCAAATGAATACAGAAACCAATAATGGTTTCTTCTCAAATGATCTTCTCCCTTCTCTTGGAGCTAGAATCAATTATGCTACAAAGCTTCGAAAATTCATCATTTCGCCTTTCAATCCCCGCTACAGGTAATGACTAATTGATTAATTTTCCCCTGTTACATAGGAAATTAGTTAAACTTCTGAATATAATGGTTTTTTGGTCTAATATTTCAGGTGTTGGGAGATGTTTCTAGTTGTTTTGGTCATATACTCAGCCTGGATTTCTCCATTTGAGTTTGCATTCTTGTCATACAAGGAAGATGATGCTCTATGCATCATTGACCACATTGTTAACTGCTTCTTTGCTATTGACATTTTCCTTACCTTCTTCGTTGCGTATCTTCATCGAGAGTCCTATCTTCTTGTTGATGAACCTAAGAAAATTGCAATAAGGTAAACATGTAGTTCTAACTCAGTCCAACTTCAACAAGAGAGATATATCATATATAGTTGTATTCTGGCATTTTGCTTCCGCTGTTTATTCTATCAGTTGTAACGTGTAATAGGTACTTGTCAAGTTGGTTCATATTTGATGTATGCTCCACTGTACCATTTCAATCATTGATCCTCCTCTTCACGGATCACAAAGAAAGCGGTGGCGTTGGCTTCAAGTTGCTCAGCATGCTCAGACTATGGCGTCTCAGACGAGTCAGTGCCCTGTTTGCAAGGTCCAAACACCACCTGTATTTGGTTTCTTCTACACATGAATTATGAAATGCTTTAATGCTGGAACCAAAATTCTCACATATAAGCCGGTTTGCTTTCCTTCAGACTTGAGAAGGACATCCGGTTTAACTACTTCTGGACGCGATGCACAAAACTCATATCAGTAAGTCCTCAATGCCTTAATTTATTCTTGAATCCAAAAAGATGAAATTTTTATATGTATAGCATGTTGACCACTAGTATTTGGTTGTGTTTTTGAGTTCAGGTAACATTGTTTGCAGTGCACTGTGCTGGATGCTTTAACTATATGATTGCAGATAGATATCCTGATGCCAAAAAAACATGGATTGGTGCTGTAAATCCTGATTTCAAGAAAGAAAGCGTTGGCGACAGATATATAACTTCACTATATTGGTCTATTGTAACTATGACAACAACCGGTTATGGGGATTTGCATGCTGAGAACTCAAGGGAAATGTTGTTTGATATCTTTTACATGTTATTCAACTTGGGATTGACTTCTTACATCATTGGAAACATGACTAATCTTGTTGTTCATTGGACCAGCCGCACCAGAAACTTTGTATGTTTCTCTCCCTCTCTCTCTACACAAATCGCGTGTTACAGTTCATACTTCTAAAATAGAAACTAAACTTGGGAATTTTTGTTTTCCAGAGGGATACAGTGAAAGCAGCTCAAGAATTTGCGAAAAGGAATCAGTTGCCTCCAAGGGTACAAGATCAGGTTTTATCCCACATATGTCTCAAGTTCAGAACTGAAGCATTGAAACAAGACGAAACTCTCAACGGCCTGCCCAAAGCTATCCGAACAAGCATTGCTCACCACCTGTTTTTTCCTATAGTTCAAAATGTCCGTTTATTCCAAGGTGTTTCGCCAAACCTACTTTTCCAACTGGTAATTTTCTCCCCTCCCTTCTCTCGTGTTCTGTCTCTGGATCACTCTGCATTGGATTTTAACTGTGTGAATTCTCCTCGTTAAGGTTCCTGAAATGGAAGCTGAATACTTTCCGCCCAAGCAAGACGTGATTTTGCAGAATGAGGCTCCAACAGATTTGTATATAATAGTTTCAGGAGCAGTGGTAAGTTAGTTTTATAGAATGAGTATATATATAGTTACTTGAAACCTTAGAAAAACTGTGCTTTTCATGTACTTATATCCTATTTTATAAATCATTGCTGCAGGAACTGATAGCACAAATTGAAGGGCTAGAGCAAGTATGCAACATAACTAACATATCCATTTTTTTAACATCACGAAAGTCACAACTTTAGGATATAACTTATCTCTCTCCTCAATCTTGTTTCCAAACCAGATAATTGGAAAGGCTGTTGCAGGAGATCTATTTGGAGAAATAGGTGTTTTATGTGGGAGACCACAGCCATTTTCTGTTCGAACTACTGAGATTTCTCAAATTCTACGGCTAAACAGGACAGCATTGATGAACATTCTCCGCGCAAATCCAGAAGATGAACGGATAGTTATGAACAATCTTTTGCTGGTAAGTTTACCAGATTATGAACAACTTTCTTCTCACGCAACTTTTCCTGGTAAATCCACTATTGTTATTGCTTAGGAAAAACGACATTCACAAAACAATTCCTTTTTTAAAAAAAACATAAGAATCTGCAGGGATTCGGAGGCTTTGGTTATGTGGACCACCAAACAAATGGAGGGCCAGATATTAAAAGGCATCATGATACAGCACTGACTAGCATAGATATCAACAATTTGGAAGCTAGAGTTAAGAAGCAAGAGGGAGATGATGTACAAGAAGTAAACGAAAGCATGAATGATTTGTCATTAAATCTTGAAAATAAGAGGGAACAAAATGAGCAGAAAGTTGAGCTCATTGGACCAGATGATAAGGGAACAAAGAGCTGTCAACTGAACCCTGAGGTCCCCTGTTGTTCTAAATCTTGTAGTACCATTTCAAGTGGTTCTAAAGTGACAAAATCCACCAATAAGAGAGTCACCATTCACATGCAAAAGAAAGAATCATTGCATCACCAGTTTGGGAAGCTAATAATTCTACCTGATTCACTAGAAGTGCTATTCAGAGTAGCAGGTAAATTACCTTTCATCTTAGGAAAATTAAAGAAACTAATTATAACGCGATTTTTTTTCTCACTGCAATTTTGTGCAACTGCAGGTCAAAGATTTGGAGGCTACAATTTCAAGAGAGCTGTAAATGCAGAGGATGCTGAAATAGATGACATTGATGTCATCAGAGATGGCGACCATTTATTTTTCCTTTAGCATGAATGCTTGAGCATTGAATATAATCCTAAAGGAAAATTATCAGAAATTTAGAGAATGCTCAGAGGATAAAAGCAATTGTATATTGATCTCATTTTGTAAATGTTAGGCTAAATGATCAATCTTTGTATCTCCAAAGGGAGAAATCAAAATTGCAAATTAATACATCAGTTTCAAGAATATCATCGACTCGCTACAGAAGGAATACACTCTATACCCTGTTCTTTTCATGAATAACATACAACTTTAACACCTTATAAAATTGCAACTACTCTCGTGTGCTCTACACAAACAAGATGTTTAACAACAGTTTCCTGCCTCAAGTCTTGCTCTGGATAGAAGTTCCAGAAGTATCAATTGACAAGCTTCAGATGAAAATTTCAGCGAGCTCCATCTATAACATTTATGGATAAGCTTCCATGAGGTCACTTGCGACCTAATGAGCCGATTTAAACTCCATCCAAGCTTTGCTGAAACATGTTCTCTTGGGTCATCTGCATCCGCCAATATTGAAAAAATTCTCCTTGCAAACAATGTATTATTGACTTCTAGAAATTATTGGGATAGGATGAGCTTCTGTGTTGAATACATACTCATCCAAAGGGATTGTGGTGCTATTACCAAACAGCAAATAGAGGTATTTGAGTGTTTCGCCCAAGAAAAACGTCTCCATCTTGTCTCTTCTTCGTGGGGGAAGCACAGTGACATCATCAAGAGAAGTGTAACCTCCAGAATCGACCTTTGTGTACTTCTCAAATGCCTCAAAAATTTGCCATCCCCATTCACGATACCTAAAGAAGAGTCCACCAAATCAACAAAACTTATCTGTAAAAACCCATAAAGTGAATATATATCTAAGTTCACAGATCAACTGAAAAATAAGAACATACTTTGAATCGCCAGTAATACGATAGAGTACAAATAATGATTCAACGGTTTCAGGACGCAAAAGATTGTGACGATCGGCAGGCTTTATGATTATGTCATTCAAATATCTCGAACTTTTGTTTCCACCATCAGGGCCACCTTCAGAATTTCCCTGCTTGAAGAAAACAAGATAACGAAAAAACATTACAATGCAAGGATTTTCCAATTATGTCACAATAGAGAATACTCAAGTCGGATTTGATATATGAACATTATCGTCAATTTATCTTACGTCTCTCTATTGATGAGAATAGATCATTCAAGTTGTGATAGGCACAATTCCACTCTGATTATTTGCCAGATTTGTTTGGTTGATTGGACTAGCATTAAGTTATTCTTACATCTTTTAAAACCACTAAACATGTATTGCATCTACAAATAATTGACATTAAACATACATTAGAAGTTTAGAGTATGCAACAAGATTTTTCAAATTTTCACAAACTTCATGTAACAACCTGGCCGGTCGTTTTGAGTATTTTAGCCCTGTTCCCCTATTTATTGCCTCCCCTATGTTATATTGTGGTTATGTGACTTGCAGGGATAGTTGATTTTGGTTTCGGGCGAGTTTCGGAGTGAAACGGGACACATAGTCCCTAAGTTGGAGGCTTAAATTGAAATAGTTGACCGGAGTTTGACTTTTGTGTAAACGGCTTCGGAATGGAGTTTTGACTGTTCCAATAGCTCCGTATGGTGATTTTGGATTAGGAGTGTGTCTGGATGTTGATGGTCAGTAGATCGTTTCGGCTTGAATTGGCGAAAGTTAGAAAGTTGAAGGTTTGGAAGGTTGAGAAGTTTGACCGGAAGTTGACTTTATTGATATCGGGTCCGGATTTCGGTTCCGGAAATCGAAATAGGTCTGGTGTGTCAATTATGACTTGTGTGCAAAATTTGAGGTCAATTGGAGTTGGTTTGGTATGTTTCGGCATTGGTTTTTGAAGTAAGTAGTTCATAAGTTCCTTAGGCTTGAATCGATGTGCGATTCGTGGTTTTAGCGTTGTTCGATATGATTTGAGGCTTCGAGCGAGTTCATATCATGATTTAGGACTTGTTGGTATGTTCGGACGGGGTCCCGGGGGTCCCGAGCGTGTTTCGGGTCGAGTTCAGACTATTTGCTCTTGAATTAGGACTATTGGTTTCCTGTTCTTGTTTCCTTCTACGCGTTCGCGAAGGTTCCCCTCGGAATTTTCTCTTCGCGTTCGCGAAGATAGGGGTGCGACCGTGAAGGTTGCTGAGCTTAGGCATCGCGAACGTGTGTGGTCGATCGCGTTCGCGTATAAGGAAGGTGTGGCTGGGGCTGAGGCACGCGTTGTTCTTCGCGTTCACGTGGCTTGGGACGCGATCGTGCAAGTGGAGGAAGTTGTTCATCGTGTTCGCGACTGGCTTCACGCGATCGCGAAGAAAGTTTAATAAGCTGGGGAAGAATTGTTCTACGCGATCGCGAGTCTTTGTCCGCGATCACGAAAGAGGATAACTGGGCAGCAGTGTTAAATTTCCAAAAAGAGGGTTTTATCTCAATTTTCATCTTTTGGACCTAGAGAGCTCGGTTTGTGGCGATTTTTCGAGGGATTTTCAAAGAAATCATCGGGGCAAGTGATTCTAACTCGGATTTGGCTATTATACATGAATCCATCTTTATTTTTGTCATTTAATTAGTGATTTGAGTTGGAAAATTTGGGGGGAAATTGTGAAACTTCATAGACCAAATTTTGGAGATTTGAAAGGCAATTTGGGTCGGATTTTTGTAATTTTTGTATGGTTGGACTCGCCATCGAATGGGTGTTCGAATTTTGTAAGTTTGGTCGGGTTCCGAAACGCGGGCCCGGGGTTGACTTTTTGAGTTGGCTTTTTGTTTCTCTTTAAAGATTGCAACTTTTATTGTTCGGAATAGCTTCCTATGATTTTTATTTATGGTATGAAGTTGTTTTGGCTAGATTCGAGCCGTTCGGAGTTGGATAATCGCGAAAAGGCTTACTAGTGGATTGAGTTAGCGTGTTTTGAGGTAAGTATCTTGTCTAACTTTGTGTGAAGGAATTATCCCTTAGGATTGGTGTTGTTTTGTGCTAATTGTGGTATGTGGAAGCCGTGTACGCAAGGTGACGAGTGTGTACACGGGCTAAATGTGGTAATTGACCGGTTCTAGCTATGTAGACTCCTTTCATGCCTTTAATTGAGTTGCCATAACATATTATATTCATCGTCATTAGTCTATCTTCACATGCTTTACTTGACATTGTTAATACTTGTCTTATCTTTCACTTGCTAATTGCCTCTACATGCTTAGTTGAAGCTATTGTTCTCTCAATTCCTTATTCATTCTTTAACCGTTGAGTTCCTTTACTTGAAGTTGTTATTTCTTGGAATATCTTATTGTTGAATTTTGGAGTTGAAGTTATAAAGGCCGTGATTCACATCGAGGCAAAGTTGTAAAGTTGTTGAAATACCATTCTTGTTGAGTTATTCACTGTCGGTTGCTATTGTTGAGACTCTTGTACATATTGTGGTTGGGCCATGAGCTATATATTGTGGAAACACTATTATTGTTGATTTCTTTGGCAAGTTGTGGTATTGGGCACTTAGAGGTGCGATTTGCGTTATGTTGTGATATTGATATGCATGCGGTGATATAAGGATTGGGGTTGAAACGCATGCGGTGAGATTAGGTGGGCTTGATACGCGTGTTGCTAGTAGGGGAACTACTTGAAGCCACGCGGTGTGATAAGGTGGGCTGAAACGCAGGTAGCTATTTCGGGAAAAATAATTTTTAAAACTAATGCAAGGCTCCCGCGGTGATATGAGGAAAGATTGGGATTCGATTTGTGAAATGAGACTACGAGGCGGTACCTCAGTAGTGATTCTTGTTGATACCTTTCATTTACATCACTTGTGTTTTGTTTGCATTGCTTCCTTGGCATTCTTATTATGTGTTTTCTTCCATGATGTCTTAATTGTCTTAGTTCAGTGTAGTTATTCTTGTTATATTTCTTCATTGTATCATTTCCATTATTTTTCATTATTATATTGTCATATACATGTTCAATTTTTCTTATTTATTCCAGTAGGTGTCTTGACCTAGCCTCGTCACTGCTTTACCGAGGTTAGGCTTGATACTTACTGGGTACCGTTATGGTGTACTCATGCTACGCTTCGCATATCTTTTAATGCAGATCCAGGTACCTCATACCAACCTAGGCACCAGTGAGTCAAGCTCGGATCGGAGACTTCAAGATATACATGCCGCCGACCGCAGGCCTCGGAGTCACCCTGTATCTAGGTCTATATCATTCTTCTTTTATTAGATATTGTTGAATAGGGATGTTCAGTATACTCATGTAGAGCTTGTGACATGGTATCACCGGATTTTGGGAGTTTTGTTCTGTTGAGTTGCGGAGTCCTTTTTATGATAGTTGTTGGTTAATTTGAAAGTTTTATCATTACTCAGTTATATACTGCATGTATGCTAGGCTTACCTAGTCTTAGAGACTAGGTGCCATTAACATCCTACGGAGGGAAATTGGGGTCGTGAGTCGTTACACTCCCCCTCCTCAAAAAATAATTTGAAAATCGACAAGGGAAAACTGAAAGCAACACCTTACATAAAAGTTGCCAAAAGTGATGAAAGAATAAAAAATGTTTAACTCACCTCAATATTGAAATAAGCTATTTCTGGAGCAAGGCCAGTAGAGGTTACTGAGTATATTTCCACGCATGTCTTAGCCAGATCTTCAGCAAGCTTTAGGTTTTCCATATCTTCAAAAGTGAGCAAGTTCTCTTTCATAGCCCTTTCCTTTGTGAACCCCTTTGTAGCGCCAAGGGCCAGGGCACCAGGAAGGAAACACACCTGAGGATGATGCCAAATGATATCAAACTTATAAGAACAGACATCAACATCTAAAATCAAGCCTTCATATATTTAGGAATGTAAATTTCATTGTGAATAAAAAAAAAAGAAAGAGGCACGAAAAGACTGTTTTCCTCTAAATCAAGACTAGACACATTAACAAAAAACACATTACTAAAATATATAGCTAGGTCGGTAGGTAAAGGTATCTCAATGTCTGCAACTTGTAATCCATCATAAATCAACACAGGCAGAAGAGAAAAATGAAACTTATGGCCAGCGATTTAGTCGTTAAACTCTTGAGTGAGAAAAATGATTGATAAATTTGAAAACCTTCTATAAACATACAAAATTTAAAATATAGAATTGGCTAAGTATATTAAGGAGAGTAATGAAGTGTAGGTTGGGACGATCTTTTTTCTTTCTTTCTTTACTTCAGATAAATTTGGCATCATGCAGCTGATTCCTTGTCAGTCCCATTTCGACTTTTCCATCTTTGGTTTCTGAAGCACAGCTAGAAAAGAATAATAACAGAAATGGCATACCAGGTGATCCATCTTTGGACTGAAACCAGCTTCTCGCCCATAAGGCAATTCTCCCACAAAGAGCAAGCCGTTTGGAACAGATTTGCGTACAAGAAGGTGCCTGACACCTTTAATTGCTTCGACATACATATCGTACAAGTATGAACAGTTAGTTCCTCGCTGCTGAAGCCACACTTTAATAAGATATTCATAGTAGCTATCACCGCGAGATCCAAGTCTAATATTGTCTCCACTAAAGTCTCCAGATTGAGGGCTGACATCATCATAAGCACAAACGAAAAGTCAATGGGTATAACAGTTCTATATTTTCTAATCCAACAGTAAACACTAATGAAAAGATCCAAAATCCACTCATTCTTAGACTTGTACTCTGCACGGTTAAATTCTAGCTTTTGGCTGAGAGATATTTACGTGGCAATGAAATGGCACAAATATCAAAGGAAGTGGCTGAGAACAAGGAACAAAAGATGTGGTGGTGGAAGCATGCGCTGAAGCAAGTGAACAAGATATTTGCACATTGACTCATTCAGAGACCCTAACCACAACTAAATGCTACTCTTTCATATGTTAGGGAATCATGAGTGTATATATGCAAATAAAGCTACTGAACTATTGCAGAGATGTTCTTTTTTCTTCTTCTTCTTTTTGGAGGGGTTGTGGTGAGATTTCTGGAAAACATGACTGCATCTTTCTAATATAATAGATAGTGAAGAAGGAATTGGCAATGGAACAAATTAGTTTAATTAGTTTAGTTTAATAGTAAATCTTATTGTAAAATCAGGAAATAAAACAGTAACCAACAATATAGATAAAACTGGATATAGAAAAACTGTTATGGTTTTCCTGCATGTTGAATAGGAAGGGAAAAAGAATAATTAAAAGAAGTTCATTGATTCTAGAGACATAGAGTGAACTGCAAACTGTTTTCATCATAATTTGGTTTTAACAGTTAATTTTGCCAGAAGAGCTATATATACTTTACAATAAAATAAGAAACAGACAGAACATAGGAAAGGCTTTTATCATATGGCTCTGTTACCATTGCGTTGAATGCCCTACATTGTTGGAAGTTGAGATATGTATAGCTCCCAAAACAATAATAACAGGTAAAGAAGACACATTTCAAGATACTGGAATAATTGCAGCACATGATATAATTACTACATTTGATATTAGCTGGGCAAACATCTGCCTACACAAGTCCTGGGAAAGGAAAATAGGAGTTAGTTGCTTACCTTATGTATATAGGGACCAGTCCCTCCACCTTTGGTAAAGTCTTTATATGTTGTAGAACCTTCATGGCTTCTATGCTATACTTCGCATCACCTGTTAGATAACTAAGATAATTGAATTCAAGCTGTAGAGTTGCAACTTCAGCAGTGCTACTCAGACCATCAGGGGCAGGATGTGCAGACTTTTCACGCAGGACAACATCACTGTATGGAATATCAGAGGGACTTGTTGTAAAAGCAGTAAGTAGACGATCAGCCAAGTTCCTAGCATTTTCCAGGTAAATAGATGGTTTAGGCCCCTTGTGTCCTGGAATTCCCCCTTGATTCCCACCACTTAAGTGATAAGCACTCAAAAGACCCCCTAGAACTCGTATTGTAGTTTCAAAGAGATTAACTTGGCCTTTCCCTTCAATCTTCTCAGGAAGATGTTTCTCAATCCACGAGCCTGCTTCATATACGACCTCATCAGCTCCCATAATCATAGCCGTGTCTAAAGCATCGATAACTGTAGCTCCCAAACCTCCTAAACCGTCAACCCCTCTATGGCTCAAGGGCATAAGTTCATCAAAACCCATGGCATAGGATTTGTAGCCAGACCAGGCATGGATAAATGCCTCTTTAACCTTCTGTTGTCTTGCTATCCATTCAGGCTCAGCTCTTTTCTTAAACTCTTGAATAGATCTATTCCTACTACTTATTTCATCGGGAGATAACCGAGGTGGAAGTCTAGGTGGTTTTCTCCAAAATCTCCTGAAGTTGCCGCTTCCATGAGTCATGATATTGTCTCCTTCCTTAGATCCATCATTTTTTGCTACACCATCAGATACAGGATGGACATCACTTTTATGAGCCAGTATGAGATATGCTAAACCACCAATCATCAGTAACACAAGAAATTTCCCAATGCTACATTTTAAATAATCACGTTTTCCATTACTGGTTAATAGAGCCTGAGAAATTACCTGAAAAGATGAGGAAACTATAAAATTTCAGTGTACAAGAGAAAATACATAATTCTGCTGCAGAAATATAAAAACTCTTTTCAAGGAGTGAAAATGATCTTGGGAGCTATCTCAAATTTACCAGGAAGAACTTATAGGTGCATCAACATTGCAAGGAAAATGGTCAGAGATAATAAAAGACGAAAAAGGTCTTATCTATAGCTGCATTAATTGCTTTTTAACGTAGTCTACTCAAATATGTTAGCAATAACATCGTGTATTTATCACATGGCAATGAAGTCCAAATCTTATACTAGTTGAAATGGCAATTAAAATACAGTAATCACCAGCCTTCAACCAAAGTTATCACCAGCCTTCAACCAAAGTTACTATCTTTTTTTCGTCTGTAGTTTTTATAGGCTGAGACGTAATAATGCTTTTAAAGGTGTCCGCGTGCTAAGATTCACAACATAAATAAGTTATGTAGCAGAAAGACGGTTTCGTGCAAGTACAACACTGTTGCAGCACCCTTCCATGAAATGAAGTGCATACCAAGGTCCAAAAGCTAAATCCTTCCCCCCACCCCCATCCCCCAAACCCACAAGAAGAGGAACTAAAAGAAAACTTTCAAAATGAGATTGACGACGGTTAAAAAGCATAAAAATATACTAATCTGAAGCTCCACTTAGAGATTCAACAAGATAGATAAAAAGATGGTATTAATAATTAACTAAGCACAAAAAAGGGAGAAAACATGCTTCAAGTGGTACAAGTGATATGCTCAGCTCAATGTCAAAGCTTATTTGAGCCTTCTTCATAAATTAGGAAATTTAATATTTAAACAAAATCTTTTACGCTAGTTATATATCAAATCAAGTTCAAGAAGAACAAATGTTTGACTTGCCTCTATTTATATCCACTTGCAGTATTAGAGGTATATAATTTTTTTCTCTTTTTACCGGATTGGCTGTTACTTTCCGTATCAATTTTGGATTCAATTCCACAATTGCACCAGTCATAATAAGCAAATATTAGTTCATATAAGACAAAAAATAGAAGAACAACAAAAAAAAAAAAACAATTTTTTTTTCTCTCTTCAAACTAATCAGGGCATTTCCAATGAAGAAACCTTAACGAACTCAGAAAAACCAATCCTTTTATCAAAAAATAGATCCTTTAATCAATTTAACAGAGAAATCAAGATAATTTCGAAAATGAAAACAAGATTCAAAGGTACAAAGTTTGATTGAGCTGACCTGAGATACGGATCGTTGGCGGAACTTGGCGTTATCATAATGCACATCTTTCACCGAGTAAGGCAATGAATTCGACATCTCTAGATCAAGAAAAAATAAATTACAACCAACTTCAGATTCTCAATTACGCTCTGCCTTAAAGCAGACTCAAACTACAATCATACGCGTGTACATTTATCCACTATACTACAGCGCGCGTATATAGAGAGTGTTATTATGCACACCCAGATGGGAATTAAGCGGGGGGGTGTTGCGGGAATTCGGAGGTGGACAAAGATGGAAGACTCGTGCTTTTGATTCCTTGTGAAAGACTTCTGAGTGGTGGTCTTTGAGAAAAAGGCCAAAATAGTTACAAAATTAATTAAATAATAAATTATAAGAAAATTAACTAAAATAGCCGTTCAGCACAGTGGACAACAACAAGCCCAGTAATTTGAGATGTACACAGCCTTATCCCTATCCTAAAAGGACAAAGAGACTGTTTTCGATAGACCATCGGCTAGAGAGAACGGGTGACAAAAGTAATGTCAACAAGAAGGAATAATAACGACATAAAAATACTGAAGGCAAGAAAGCAGTTAAACTCTATATAATAATAGAAATGTATGAATAAAAGGATTTCATACTAACACTAATGCTAGCGAATTGGAAAAGACAAAGAAATACGCTCGACTACCTACTCAGTCAATTTCAGCTACGAATGTATGATATATGAATAATAAATATATACAAAATTTTACAATCAATATATAATTTGTGTATACTAATTAAATAAATAAATAATAAATCCGTCCGATAATTTATATACATATTAACAAATTATACTAGAAAAGATAAATTAGTCAAATCTTAATAGGAGTAGCACACACCCTCTTCTATATCTAGTGTTGAAAGTTGAGGCCATCTACTAATAGAGTAGCAGTCCAAGCCCAATTGCACAAATGGTCTCCTTTTTAAACCTGGCCGATAAAATAGAATTAAGCTAAATAATCGTACACCCAATCGTTTAAATTAAAAATAGTTAATATATATATACTTTATGAATTATATGTATATAATCGCATATCTATATCTATATTATATTAAAAGCACGAAGGCCCTTAGCGAAATGTCGTTCGTCTTTTTTATCCTCCGTAAATGCACTTTATAATGGATAAAATTGTAAACACAAACAAATGAATTTTAAAAAAGGAGGAAAAATTAAGAATAAGAGAAGAAGTAGGAAAGTCAAGCTTTCAAGTAAACCTTTCGTAGGTTAAAAAAGGAAAAAGAATAAGACAATAAGTAGGAGATCCATTATTTAATCTCACTATTTAATATGCTATTAAAGAGGTCAAATTTTCTGTAGTTAAAAGGGAAAAAGGAATACTTGAAGTAAATTTTCTAACATTTAGGTTGTTCTAAGAGTTTTGTGATAATAAACGTCTTTTAAGATTTTTGTAGTGCTAAAAGTTCTTGTGGTTTTTTACATAGTGATCAAGCTACCAATTCAAGTCTGTCATTATATTAAATGATGTTCTTGTAGTTTTTATAAGTACTATATTTATATTATAAATGTATGTATATTACATGGAAAATATCCGTATTTAGCATGTCTATTTTCTATAAACATGTAATTTTCTAATGAAGAAAGAATTGCATAAAATTAGAAACATGAGACTTAATATATACGACTAATCAAATTTCATACAAAAAGTAACACATTACAGTTAATATTGTGTATGACTAAACTACCGAGTAAATAAAACTGGCCTAATTCTCGGAGATGCTAGGAAAAGGACGTCATTAAAATTTATAATTTTAGAATATAAATTCGATTAATTGCTACGGATTTAAAATATGTTCGTAATTTCGTAAGCACCTAAATGATTTTTCCAACTGAATATAAGACCTAATCTCATTGCTAATGTTCGACATCTGTCTCTCCAAGATAGAGCCTATTTGGCCAAATTTTCAAAGTTAATTTGTTTTTTTAGTTGTTTTATAATTTCTATAATATATATTTTATTGATTAAAGAATGGATAATTTATATTTTGCTTGTGATAAAAAAGAAAAATGTCTATTATCAGGTAGGTGATCCTATGAGTGTTTTTAGAATGAATTAAAGAATCTATACTTCTCAAGAAGATTTCAAAAAAAAAATTTAATTTTCAAAAATTTATGTGTTCTCGATGAAAGTAAAAAATAATCATGACAACTTCTGATATGCATAAATGTTAAGTTAAGAATATTGATTAAGATGATTTAGAACTTCTATATTATTATTGTTTCTCATTTATTAAATTGTTGAATAAAATCAACTAGCATCATTTTTCAGGAACTCATATTTTTTTCGTACACTTTTTTTTATAACTCAAATGTAATTAGTTAATATAGTATTTATGTAATTTTTAACAAATATGTATTCACTAAGACGGGATACACGCGCAACGCGCGTACCGTAAGACTAATCATTAATAAATATATAATCTACGTATATTGATTAGAAAAAATATCGGCTATTTGTGAACAAATCTAGCCAATAAATGGGGTAGATTTTGGGAGAGAAAAAATGGTTGTCATTGGAATTTCTAGTGACTTGCTATTAAAATAAGAACGAATAAACAATTATTGTGAAGTTAGAAACAAAATGTAACGGTAAAATATCATATCGTTGTCACTTCCAAAGACAAATAGATATTGTTTGATAACAAATCTCTTTGTTTTGTCATAATTGGGAATTCTAGTGACAAACCATTTTAGAATATATTTTTACTCGCTCTCCTTCTAAAGTCGAAGGGCAAGTAACTCCCCACCCCCCAAACCACCAATTTTTCTCGGTGGTCATACCCAAGTCCCGTTTAGTTTGATCAACTTCATCTAAAAAAGAAAACCCTTAGACCCACATCATATTCAAAAGTTGGTAAAAAGGGTGGTTCATGTCACGACCCATTTGATGATCAAGCCGTGATCAGCACCCAATTGTTATATTTGACCGAGCAAACTATCTGCGCTTATCAAAACTATTATAACTTTAAACTTTATATGAAACAAAGCAATACTTTAGCCAAATACTTTAATTAATTTGAATATCTGAAATAAACCAACTCCAAAACTTTATTTGTAGTATCTACCGAAATACTACAAAGTTATTATCAAAAACATCTGAATCTTAGCTCACCGACTGTGTCTATGAAGCCTCTACTGATAAATTGACGCACTGCTCAGGACATGAGATTTCCTGGCTAGTTGTCACGACCCTAAACCCAACCCGGTCGTGATGGCGCCTCTCGTGAAGACAAGGCCAGCCGACACACCTCCAATTCACTTTAAGCAATTAAAATAATAACTACTAAGTCTTTAATCAAAATTAAATCCCAAAATAAGCATTTAACAGTATAATTTGCGGAATAAAAACCGACACAGTCCTACATCGGGGTGTCACCAATGATGAGCATCTAAAACCATACTGAGAGTCTAAAGTCTAGTCCACTACTATGTAACTGAATCAAAAGAAACTGAAATAGAAGGAGAATGCACTGGGCTGCGAATCGCCAAGCAGCTACCTAGTAAATCTCCAAAGACCTGCTGGAACTATCAACCTTCAGGAGCAGGACCTGTAGCGCCCGAATCTGCACACAGGGGTGCAGGGAGTAAAGTGAGTACTTCCAACTCAGTGAGTAATAAAAATAAATGAAGACTGAGTAATATAAACCACGTAATGCACAACATTAAGCTACAAGAGGCATAACAAATCAGTTATTATAGTAAAGCGGTGAAATCTCATAATATCTTTTAAACAGTTAAACAGCATACAGGAAAGACAACAAAAAAAACTAAACACATAATAACTGCCCTTTAGGCACGGTAGCAATAGAATCAGCCCCTCGGGCAATGTCACAGAACCATACCAGCCCCTCGGGCTATATCTCAAATCACAATGGGTACCCGCGCTCACTGGGGGTGTATAGACTCTGGGAGGGGCCCCTTACGGCCCAAGCGCATAATCAAGCCATCTCGTGGCATCATAAACAGGCTCTCGGCCTCATATCAATATTTCAAGCCACCTCGTGGAATACAATCTCAGGCCCTCGGCCTCATTATCATAATCAATGTATCACCGCTGCGGCGTGCAGCCCGACCTAAATGTATCCTCACAACACAGGCCCTCGGCCTTACTCAGTCAAAATCTCATAAGCCCCTCGGGCCACAGTAAAATATGAAGCTCAGCTCAAATACCTTTGAAAATATCATTTAATGTGTTTAAAACAGAATAATACAGCTGAGTCTTTAAAATAGTAAAATATAGTATGATTGAGCACCGGTATGAAATCAATCAGTGAGGGGTTCAAACAGCTGGCACGAGGCCCACATATGGCATTTAGCCCAAAATATAATAATATTAAACAATTAACTATTAAATACGCGGTAAAATAATCATTCGGGATGGACTAAGTCACAATCCCCATCGGTGCTCTACCCCATGCTCGTCATCTAGCGTGTAAGTCACCTCAACATAGCCGTACGCTGTGAAATTCCGGGGTTTCATACCCTCAGGACAGCATTTAAAATCATTACTCACCTCAATCCGGCCTGAAACCTAGCTTGAAATGCCTTTTCCCTTCGAAACGACCCCCGAGTGCTCCAAATCTACCAAGTTCAGATTTTTATCATTAAATTATGCTAAACGAATGAACTCCAATTGTAAAATATCGATTTTAAGCACAAAACCCGAAATTAGTCAAAATCGACCCCCGGGCCCGCATCCCGGAACTGGACAAACTTTATACCAAAATGTTCTTCATCATCTCACGAGTCCGTAGATATAAAGAACTCAAAAATCGGAGTTCATTTGACCCCTCAAATTATCCCTAGAAGGTCTCTTAATCTCAAGCCCTAACTCCACCTTTTTCTACTGATTTTCATGAATTTAACACTGATATTTTGTTCCTTAATCACAAACAATCGAGTTTTAGGGTCCAAAATCCTTACCTCAACGAAGAACAATGATTTCCTTCCTTCAAAATCGCCCAAAGGTTCACAATTTTGTGTTAAAAGTGAGAAACCCTCTGAAAATCGCGAAGGAGGAAATATTTTAATCTGACCAGACATTTCCGCATCTGGGGCCATTTCGCTGCATCTGCGGTACGCTTATGCGGTTATTCTTCCACTTCTGCGGGCTCCACTAGCCTGCCAAAAATCGCATCTGCGACTGCATTTCTGCATCTGCGGCAGCGCAGATGCAGTTTTCCTTACCGCTTCTGCGGTTCCTGACCAATTGCCTCTAGCCGCTTCTGCGGCTCTTCCTTCGCACATGCGGCGCCGCACCTGCGGTCCCCAATCC